CAGTAATTGCAGAATTCAACTACACCATGCAAACTGGCAAACCCCACACTGTGCCACGATGCTGAGACTCTATTTTTGGAGATTGTCAAAGACTGCTTTGAGAAACATAGGAAGCAAATGCATGCTACCTACTACAGAGAACTGGCAAAAGAAAAAAGCAGGTTAACGTGGTTACAGACTCTCCAGTGGGTTTCCCACTCCTTGTGCAAGTGGAACAAAGCTTTTATTCCTTGCTGAGGCTTTCTGCAAAGGGCTCAATGTTCAAACTCAAAAGATTAAGAGTTTTCCAAGACCAGTGACCTGCTCTCTCTGTTTTCACCTCTAGCTTGCCAGAGTTTGAGCCCTTCCATATGTTTCAACTAGATGTGAGTCACTTTCTTTTAAAAAACACCATCTTATTCTGTTAATTGCAGTGATCAAGTCTATCAAGAACAAAAGTCTATAAGGGTAATTGAAACTTCAGCTCACAGGATTCAGCATGCCTGCTCAGAGAATTTGTGAAAGAAAGTTAAAACAGACAAATTATAAATTGTAAAAAATCCATTAATCTCTCATACTGACTTAAAAACATAAGATAACATTACCAGGCTCTTGATCAATTTAAAAAAATATTTACTGTTTGTACTACTTTGAAAAAAAAATAATAAGGTGAAGAAGATTTGAGGCTCAGAGAGACTAAATCCATCTAAATCCATCAACTACCCGTATACCTCTGTAACTGTGCCATTACTGTTTGTTTTCTGGTGAGGTAGATTCACAGATTTTTCAAGAGAAACCGCCACAGTCCACAAATTGCATAAAGAAGTCAGTGAAAAGCAGCTAAGAAAATTAGACCTCTTTCTAAAGTAAATTTATACATGCACACACACGTATATATATCTACCTACATACATGATTGATGCATTTTTTCACCTCCAAAATTTGTGCAATAAAATTTGAATTTTAGCATTTAGAAAGCAGCATACAATTAATTGGACAGAGCAATAATCTTTCCATTGCAATTAGCTTAATATTATAACTTTAACTTATAAAATATAACAAAAGGGGAAAGTACATATCCTCCTATATTTTATTTAATAAGACGTTAAACTAGCCTTATGCTGCAGATATTCCATTGTTTATCATTTCAGAGTGCAAACTAGCAGAGTATTGTGCAGATGCTTCTTCTTCTTCTTCTATAAAAGAAGCCACATAATAACTGCAGTGTTTTAGACAGGTCATAAATAATGCATCAGTAGTATTTTAATGTTGTTTAACTGCTGGGAACTACAAGAGGTTTTGACCCCTATGCAAGACACCTGATATCTTGGGATAACTATTTAGATATCTAATTACTATTTAGACCCTGTATCAACACTAAAAGGAACAGAACGTTGAGTAAAGAGAGATCACCAAAGAGAGTAGGTGTGGCTTGGCTAACTGCAAGGGGTCACGTATTTCTAAGATTTCCAAAGACTTCAGCTGGGGAAATTGTAAACTGCATCATAGAGAGACTGACTGAAAGCAAGTGCTACAGCAGGCAAATATTCTGTAGACAGCAGTAGAGGTGACTTATCTATACAACTCCAGATTTCCAGAGAAAATCATACACAGAAAGAAGAGTAACAAGACACGAAAGCTTTGAGAAGATGTTGGGGATTGGTGAGGTTTTTATAGTTCTGGTAGCATCTCTTCTGATTTTGCAATTCCTAAAGTTGCAATGGATGCGTAGCCAGCTTCCTCCAGGACCAATTCCCCTCCCTGTCTTTGGAAACCTGTGGCTCCTGAACTTCAAACTTCAACGAGAAAATCTTGCCGAGGTATTTATTTATTTCTGCAACTGAAAATTAATTTATATGTATTTTAACTTAAATTATATATTGCATACAAATAGACTAAAATTAGAAAATAATTTTATCATCCACAGGTTTAATTAGCAGCCAATTTTCAAAGAATATATAAGTTCTTCCACTGGCAAAAATAGTTCCAATTAAAAAAAAAAACTAATTGCTTTATTCATCATTTTCTCTTTTGGATACATAACATCCTTATATATTATTGTCACAAGCTCTAAATATCAGCAGCACGACAATCGATTGCCAGTTTTATTCTCTGTTACATTTTGTGTTTGTATCACATCTTGTAAACCATCTCTGGGAGAACTAACACTGATGTCACTGGAAGTTCTCCAGGCTGGGAGCAGTCTGATCTCTGTTAGATACCCTAAGCTCGCTCCCTTTGGCTTATTCATACAAAATTTTGCAATACCTCAATACTTACTGAAATGGAGCAGGAAAAAAAAAAAAAAAAAGTGGCTCCTGCTTGGAATACAGTATTATCACTTTATAAGCCAATTTAAACTTTTACAAAGATAAGGAACTTGCTTCAAACTCCATTTTAAGGGTAAATATGAACATGATTTGAGGAAAGATAAGAGAAAAACCACTGAGAAGTTGTACGTGCAAAAATATTTCTTTGCTTTCTTCAGAAAGAGTCAAGAAAACACAGTAATTTTAGTTAAAACAAACGAAAAAATAGCCCTGGAATTTTGCCTTTGTTCATTTGTTCTTTGATTCTGAGCTGACAGAGAGAATGTTTGTGGTATGTTCACAAAGATGTTCTTTTGAGAGTTCTTCGTGTTTTTTCCATAATATGAGATGTAACTATCTTCTGCACCCAAAGCATGCAATAACAGAAGGGTAAGTTTTGATGAAATCCTGAATTCAGTTTGTTGGTGGCAAACAGGTTTTGTTACAATTTCAGAAAACTCTAAAAAGCAATTTTAATATATGTATATGTGCCTATTTATATTTGTTAATGTACTATTATTATCTCCCCAGTTAGCCAACATCTATGGAAATATCTACACAGTGTGGCTAGGACAGTCACCTGTGGTTGTACTGAACGGATACAAAGCGGTCAAAGATGGCCTAGTCACCCATTCAGAAGAGCTTTCTGGTCGACCTCTCACTCCTTTCTATGCAGATATGATGGGTGAAAAAGGTACAAGACATTGATGTCCTGAAAAATAAAGATGACATTGTAAAGAAGAAATATGCTTTCCCCATACATGAGCATACAGAATTTACTGCCACACAGTTACTAACTGGGCAAACAGGCTGCATGCAGAGCTAATATACTAAGAAAGTGAAAACCAAAAGTTGGCCTCTCATATAGCAGATTGTTGGTTTCTTTCCTGGTGGATTCAAGGAACCCCCAGAAGAGAAGCCCTTCAGTTGCATCAGTTCTAAAACAGTTCTCACTCAGTTTTCAGAGTCACACTTATAAGCGACTCTGTCATCAGTCACAAAAAATCCTATTAGAAAACAAAAGCAATATCTCAAATAATTATACTCTGTTTTTTACTGAAATAGATCTTAATTTCAATTTCATTTTGTTTCCTGCAGTGAAAGGATTTCCCTTCCCAGCAATGAAACAAATGTTTCTGTTTACTTCAGGCATTTTTCTGACAAGTGGACACACCTGGAAGCAACAAAGACGCTTTGGCATGACTATTATAAGAAGCCTGGGACTTGGTAAGAACAACTTGGAGCATCAAATACAAATGGAGGCCTGTCACCTCGTGAACAACTTTGCAAACACAAAAGGTAAATCCATTAAAAGAAAAAAACTTGGAGCTTTTTCTGAAATAAGTGGATTCTGGGAGTGAAATTCTCAGCACGCGTTTTATGAGCAATACAGATACAATTTTACGCTTTCATTGGCTTCTTAATTGCATTCTTGGAAAAAAAACAAAAAATGTTTTGTCTGCAGAGTTGGTAATATAAAATTGTTTTTTAAAATAAGGAGAATGAAAAAATGTTTATTATCAACACAGTCTTGAGGACAGCTGGTAGCAATTCCTACCAATGAGGGAATTTTGAAACAACCTTTGTTTTTCTCCATAAAAACACAATTTGTGACCTGCAAAGTTGCGACCTCCTAGTTCTAGTGTAGCAGAGCTTTAGGATTTGGCAAAGGAAGAACCCCGACAAGTAATTTATTTTTCAGTCTTCTAACTTTTTTTTGAGATCTAGACGAAATAGAAACCAACAAGATTTTAGTATGAGGCCAAAGTAAATCAACTAAATATAAATATCCTGAACAGCCAAATCCCTCATCCACATCATGTTCCATACTGACAGAAAAATGCATAAAAGTTGCCTAAAGTCTCTCTCTGCCAAGAGGGAAATCGCCATCTACCCTTGTCTTTGATTAATTCACCTGTTCTTTTCCTGAAGGATTCCAAAACAGTGTGGCACCATGCTGGATGGAATATCTCTGCTTCATAATAATCACAAATATATACTCCAGCTATATTTTAAAAGTTTTAATTACACTTTATTATGGGCTGGGAAAAAAATATTAAAAAACCTTCATGTCATAAAATCACTAATATCTTAGGACTCACTGTGAATTAGATTTCTCGAATCGCTCTATTACACACACTCCCTTATAAAATTGCAAAAATTTCCTTCATACTCTGTATCATGCATTTAGTTTATTTGGAATATACCAATTTCATTCGCTTTCTCTTTACCCTTACTTTTTCAATTCAGCTATTCTCCTCTCTTGCCTATACATTTCAGCTAGCTTCCAAGATTATTCCTACTGTCTACAGACCTAAATGTTATTATGTTAATACAGATTTTTATACATTTTACCTATCTAAATGGAAGGTAGGAATTTATAAAGTGGAAAAAATTAAATTTAAATGTGAAGAATATTTTAGAAATATGAATATAAACATACACTTATATATCTACATAACTCTTCATGTTAACAACTGCTGCTTTTACCCTTTTTCATAGGAGCTGTTTTCCACTCTAATATAAGTATCACACAAGTTCTCTCCTTGCAGTCTGTGAAAAGATTACAGTTGAAAGCTCAGCTAAACAAACCTGAATATCTGCCTTCAGATTTAAGAACATATGTTCCAACCCACTGTTAGTGCTTTCACACAACACAGACTGCAGGTGAGATGGTAAAAGAGACCTAACACCTAAAACCAAATTATTCACTGAATCTTACAAGAGTTAAAAGCAGATTTTTCTCTACGCTTACAATCTTTCCCCTAAATTCTTACTAAACTAGAGTTCACTTGTGCAAAATTTCCCTAGGAGTGTGATCTTCTATTCTCTGAACTTCTGTCACTGTTAATGTGAAAAAAATCTTTGTCTTCTTTTGTTTTCCCCGCTTTGCTCTATTCAGAGATATTCACTATTACTTGCTATATTCACAGGCAACCCTTTTGACCCCCATACTTTCATTGTCCACGCTGTTGCAAATGTAATCTGTGCTGTTGTTTTTGGTCATCGCTTCTCCAGTGAGGATGAATCTTTCAGCAAGCTTATCAAAGCCGTCCATTTTGTGATCTATTTTCAAGCTACTATCTGGGGAAGGGTAAGAATTTAATTTTCTTATTCCTTTAAAGTAAATTACTGCTTCATAAGTAAAATGAATGGATTAAATGCCAGCAAGCATTATTCCCCAGACCTTTCCACACCATTGCTCTGCAAAATACTGTGCAGTAGTAAATTAATACCTACCTTGTAGATCTCATGACTTCCTCATAGTCCTCCTCTATGCCACGAGTCCACAAGTCCTAAAATTCAAGTTCTAAATCATTATTGTTTTTAGCAGAGATCAAAAATACACAATGAATTTCAATTCAGGAACCATTTGCAGTGTAGTGTGCACATAAAATTCTTAAGTCCTCAATTAAAGCAAATTTTCATAATTTTCATTTAGACATCAGAAGTTGTTAATAAGAACTACACTTTCCAAATCCTATCCTTTAGAGGAGGTATCTTATTTCTCAGGCACTTTATGATACCAAGACCTGAGTTAATCTGAACTCCCCTAAGACACAGACAACATGACAGGAGAATACTCTAGAAGTTCTTTAAAGCCTAATTACTGCTCAGGTTGTGCTGACATGGGATGTTGGCATTTTTAGCTGTAACGGGTTCTCCAAAACTTCCCTATAAAGGTAATTTTTGCTCTGTTTTTAAGGCAAGGTTGGGAAAGCCTCCTGCTTGTAAGCCAGATTCGGCCCGCGATTGCTCTAATTCACCCATTTTTTGCATTAGATATACATCAGAAAAGGCAAAACCTAATCATTCCCCTGCTCATCTGTGACCTGGCATCCACTCACCACATGGTGTAGACACTTCAGTTGTGATGGGGAAGGTCAAGTCATGTGTGAACAGATCCTCATCACAGGCATAAATTAAATAAAGGCCTTGGCAACAGTCCTAGACACTGAAGCCCATTCATAGAACATACACAATACAAACACGTGGAGGGAAGATAAAATAACAAAATCTTTTCCTTAACCACATACTTGCCAGTCTCTCTTAGAGGAAACCCTTCTAAGACTGGGATGTCAGATCAGCTTCTGTACAACTATTTAGTCTCCAACTTCTCTGTTGAGGATAAAAAGTTTATTAAATGGATATTGACTCTTTCATAAAGTCTAATTACACATTAAACTACTCAATGTTATCAATAGGTCATTAATAAACCTCAAAAGTTTTCCTCAAGACAAGTTTACTTACAGGGCAACCTAAAGATTTCACAAATTGCATTAGAAATTTATTATGATTTATAGTTAGAAGGTTCCTCTAAAGGTCATCAAGTCCAACAACCTGCTTTAGGCTGTTGAACCAAGTAGATCAGGTTGCTCAGCAACTTCTTTAATCAAGTTTTGAACATCTCTGTGACTGGAGGTTCCACACAGCCTCTCTGGGCAACGTGCTTCAGTATACAACCACTCTCATGGTTAAATAAACAGACAAATAAAAGTCTTTATGTCTACTTAGAAGTTCCCATGCTCCAACTTACATCTGATGCCTCTCATCCTAATGAAGAGCCTGTGCATTGCAATGATCCTGCACAGTTATTAGGAAATCAGAACTGGTTTCTCAACTTAAGAGAGCTCCTGTTCTTTTCTTTCTGTTCAAAATCCCAGATGTATGATGCTTTTCCATGGCTTATGCAGTATTTCCCAGGACCTCATCAGGAAGTGTTCGCATACAGTCATTTCATGCACAACTTAGTTATGGATGAGGTCCGGATTCATGAGAGACACAACACAGGTGATCCACGGGATCTCATTGACTTCTACCTGGCTCAAATAGCAAAAGTAAGTATTTATTTATCACACTAACCCTTCCTTGGCCTTAATGGCTACTACAAATAGTTTTTCTCCAAATATTACTATAGAATTTTTACTTGGGTATTTAATTTGTTACAGACAGAAGACTGTTCATTCTTTTCATCAGGTAATACCATTTTCACATGATCATATCTAAAATGATCCATTTCTTGTGAATTTTCCCTACAGACCAAAGATGACCCTACCTCTACTTTTAACACTGACAACATGGTTCAAACTGTGGTTGATCTTTTGCTGGGAGGGACAGAAACAACGAGTACCACCCTTCTCTGGGCACTGCTCTATATGGTGAAATTCCCAGAAATACAAGGTGAGCGAAAAGCATTTTTAGAGAGGACTGCATTCAACATTACACTAAAATGATGTTCATTATGATGCAAGTAATAGTTCACTCATTTAGAAATACATCAAAATCAATTATTAATAATGAAAAATATAAATGGGGATATGTCAGTAATTGAAATCTAAGAAATTAAAGTTTAATCAATGAAAGAAACATGAATTTTCCCCACCGGCTCTGTAAGAGAACACCAAGATAAAGGCAGAATAGCAAAGACATAATTTCATATATAACTAAGATTCTTCCCAAACTTCAAAGTAGAGAAGCTTTAAAAAGGCATCTAGTCTGATATGAATTTATAAAGAGAAATGGTGCTTGTCATTTCAAAGTTGAATGTGTTTTGGAAACACATTCATCAAGTGGAATGTGTCTTAAGCACAAGATCATCCTGTGCTCTGGGTACATGCCCTTTCTTAAACAGAAACCAACACAGCAGTCAAACCACATGCCAAGGCATTTCATGGCAACACAAGGTCTTTTTTTCCCCATTCATGGATTGCATCCAGAAATCTGCTGTGAAAAAAGTAAAATATTTTCATTCCTCTGAATGAAATTGCACTTTCATTTCATTTCATGCAGAAAGGGTTCATAGAGAGATAGAAGCTGTTCTGGAACCCTCCCAACTAATCAGCTACGAAGACCGCAAAAAGCTGCCGTATACGAACGCTGTCATTCACGAAACCTTGCGCTACAGCAACATCACTTCCATTGGGGTCCCTCGACAGTGTGTGAGAAACACAACTTTGCTGGGCTTTCCCATCAAAAAGGTACAGAGGGCATATTCACGGTTCTTATGGCTTTCACTTATTAATATTTAGTATTTATATCACAGTAACATCTGTAATTCTTAATGTGGCTTTGGAAGCATGTGGCAGCACATCACAGACAGGAAATAAAGCCGACTGCCCTGAAGGAGGGATAAGTCTATGTAATGACAGGCAGAAGAAAGCTTGGGAGAAGGCTAGCAGCACAAGTAGCAAGCAGAGAAACTGAAGTCTCCTATCCCAGTATCAAGGTAGAGTTAATGTCTGGGAATTACCTTTCACCAAACAGGTAATACACTAGTTTCTTATGCCTGTAAATCCAGGCATAAAATGAAAAGGCAAAACAGAATCCAAACGCTGGGTTCCAGATACAGGATGACATATTATCCACTACAGAGAAGGAAAGGCCTTCTCTGTGGGATTGAATCCTCATTCAATCACACATGGAAAACTGAATCTCTGCTTCTTTTCGAAGGGTACACTCATACTGCCCAATCTGCACTCCGTCGTGTATGACTCTGAGCACTGGGAGACCCCTTGGAAATTCAATCCAGATCATTTCCTTGATTTGGATGGCAACTTTGTGAATAAAGAAGCATTCTTACCTTTCTCAGCAGGTAATGGCCCAACATTTTAATCTTGTTCACTGTGTCTTGGAGGAAGAACTAAAAATCAATTAATCTGTTTCTAAACTTCTCAGTTCTGCAACTTAAGAAATACACCTTTATAAAAGTAAGTTTGACACAAAGATTTAAAGTCAGGTGGCCTGCTGCAAGGGCTGTAAATATCATCTTGCATTTTATGTTTGGATATGTTCAGAGGACCTACGTGGCTAGGAGACATTCAATAAGAAATACCAAACCTTCAATGCAATGATACAAAGACAAAGAAAAGCAGAACAAAACATAATCCAGAAAATATTCTCATCAGCCTCTTCAGTAATCAGATTATAAGGAAATATAATACAACACAAGAAGCTGGCATTATTTCCTCAAAAAATAAGCAATAAAACAACACTGCTTTCATGAAACACAGTTTCTCATGTTACAGTGAAAGATAACACCATTGTTCATTAACTGAAGATAGAAAAGAAGCAATTACCATACCAAACAGTGTACAAAATCAGTTTAAACATAGTGAATCCAATTTTCAAAACCAACAGCCCAAATTGCCTGTAAATCCTAAACATATATTTGCAAAATAATTTCGCATCTTACCTCATTTGCTCACCAAATGTCTGCCCAATAGTTTACATGAAGACAACTAATTTAAGTTACCATTTTAACCAGGGCATAGGAAGTTTCTCTTTTACTTGCTTTGTTGGTAGTTCTGTTTATAATAATCTGCCAATGCTGAAATACACTGTGAAAACAATTTACCAAAATGAGTCACCGAGTCTATACACTGCTTCATACACGCCTAGGTTTCATTCCCATACTGCAAATATCCTCTCCTGGACAGAGAATCCTCTGCTATATGGACCAAATCCAGCAGTTACTACTTTCTAACAACATTGCAATAAGCCCAATTACATCTTTCTATTTATCTTCAGAACTGTGTCCACAGTGTTCCAGCTCTTTCCCCTCAGCTCCCACAAACAAGTTTCTATTATATATGAAGAAAAAAATGGATGTTGGCATCATCAAGGATACAGTTTCCTCGATGAAATAAAAGTAAATATTCCTTCCCAAAAGCATCTTCTCTCTTTATATGAAAGAAAAATAAGCTTAAATAAACAGAATTAATGGAACTCAATGTATTTTTTTTCTCAAGTTCTTTTTCAAAAATTAGCTTTAACACAATTAACTTCCTTTCTCTATTTTCTACAGGGCACCGTGTATGTTTGGGGGAACAGATGGCACGGGTTGAACTGTTCATCTTCTTTACCAACCTGCTTCGGGCATTCACATTCCAGATCCCCGAGGGAGTAAAAGATATCAATTTGGAATACATTTTGGGTGCAATACTGCAACCACATCCATATAAACTCTGCGCTATTCCACGCTAGTCTGCAACATTCTACAAAGCAAAAGCACTTCTGCCAGTCATTATAGATATGATTTAAAAAAAAAAAAAAAACACTATCTCATTTGAATTTAGGTAGTTCCACATAGCAAATGAATACGAATATATTTAGGAAGTCTGACTTTGTACGTGTAAGCTTTTTGCAATTAAAATAAATGTACTTGCTAAAGCTCATATAATCACGTCTTAGGTGTATAAAAGTACACAACAATATGTTAGGAAAAAAAGCATTTATATACTTAGAGTAGCAAAAGACTACATTAAAACAGTAGAACAGTAGAACAGTAGAACTTGCAGCAAAGATGCAAAAATTAAAATTTTATTTCAGCAGGCTGTTAGTCACTCTACTGTGTCCATGAAAGTTCTTTTTTCCAAAGTTTTCTTGCCTTTTTTTTGCAAAAGTTACCAATGTACATGCCCTCATTTTTACTCCTTTTCCCTACCACTCTGTGGTAACTTTATGTAACGGGACAAACTCCAGCACACTCACAAGCGTTTGCAAAATAGGGCCAATTATAATGACAGTTCTTTTGGAAAGCCTTTCAACTACTATGTCAGTATCTGTTCCCTGTTTTACCGACTCTTTTAAATCCAGGTGCTTTTCTTAGGTTTCCTTCTTTTACAAGGCTATCTTCTACTGAGAAACACTATTGTTTCAATGATTTACTATTGGAAAATAACCTCCCCAGAGGATGTTATTGGCATCAATAAGAAACGCCAATATTGGTTAAAATAAGCACCAGACGGTCTTTGCCCATCAGGGATTCGGCACTCCTGATCTTTCCTTTTGTTGCCTCATCCTTCCACAACAGATGTGCAAAGATCTGACCTTTTGAGATTCAGGTGCAAGGTGCTTTCACTTGTCAAAGTTCAAGGGGACCAAGAGCGAATTATGCTGGGATGTAACTTAAAGTGAAAGTAAAATAACAGTATGTTAGAGAGGAGAATCAAGTCTTCTATTTCCAGTGTTCATCTCCTGTTTGGTAAGAACACCAGGGCTCTAACACATTGCAAAGTTTACTATTACGAAACAAAGACATAATTGGCAGTTTTCACATTTTTAATAAGAGACATTTTAAAAGTTTGCGATATTACTTCATTTTTATTGAGGAAAATATAACATCTAAAAAACCCTCCTTGAGTAAGAAATACTAACAGAAATTGAGAAAAAAAAATCTCTTAAATTTTGATTTTCTTACAGTGAGGGAAATCTTGCCTAAAACACCATTCTTAGAGGTTTATAAAAGCAGTTCTGCATCACAGTTCATAAACAAAAGTTTTCAAGTCTTACATTTTTCCTTTGTGGTGGCTCATTAAAGAAAAACTCACCAAAAATCTTCCTTCCCAATCTACCAGTTGCATGGTTAGCAAAAGGTCCATGATAAAGTGCTCAGCAGCATGACTGGCAGTGTAGATTATCCCCTTGAACTTTCTCTACTCCAGTGTATTTTGATGGTTCTTGAGGTATATCCTGCGGTAAAAAAAGGGACTCCAGTTTCTTTCCTCTATGTTCCTGAAGCTACTCTGCAAGTTCAATTATTTCTTTCCCAAATATTATTTCATTATGCACATCCATTTTTGTGTTCTTCTTCCAAAAAGTCATAGCATGGATTAAAACATGCACATATTCTCCACTTGTATTTGTGACGAACTGAGGTACCTTATGAAGACCTGCTGTACAATGCTGGTTCTAAAAAGTACAGAAAGAACAAATATTCAAAGTGCATATGATTATGGAGGTTTTGCTTTCTTTATAAAACAGAGATATCACTGTAGGCCTGACAGTTGGTACCAGTGAAAAACTGGATTAAATTTTTCTTCTTGTAACTCCATTTAAAATTGAAACAGCAAGAGATGAGGTGTTCCTCAGCTTCCCAATGCTTCCCAAAATTATGTGAGAACTGCAAGTTACTTTTTCATCACAGTTGTAATGGAGACCTGCAAGAAAATGAACAGGAAGAGAAAAAAAAAAAAAAAAAAACACAACTATTACATGAGCTAAGTCTTATTTAGATGTCAAGAAAGAAGAGAATTTCATAAAGAATTAAAGCAAAACAGAGAGAAGACAGACTTGGGAATTAAGGCCAATAACATCACTCAAAGACTTCCTGTTATACAACTTTAAAAAAAAAAAAATCACTTCAGTAGTGAGAAACCTATAGGGAAATCCACTGACATCCAGTTCTGCTCTGATGCCCAAGATTAGCCCATCTTCTCAGTAAGATAAACTATCTAACCCTTCAGAGGTTAACTCTCTGAAAGCCTTAAATGGTTTATACTCCAGCCAATAGAAAAGCCCTTCTATTAAGGAATCAACAAGATTTGTCACTTGCCATTTCTATATTCATCCAAAAAATCACGGATTGTTTTTTCCCTTGATTTCAGCAGTTACCATTTTCTCTAATCTAGCTACTTTTATGGACCAGTATAAGAACATATCTCTGCATATATCTTTCCTTCTGTACTAATGGCTTCGCAATGTTTTGTTTCCAAAACAACAACAATAAAGGATTCATTACATGCTTTAGCTGCTAAATACTAAAAACAACAGGCACCAGGAGAAAAGTACATACAGGTCCTGGCCAGTTTCTGTGAAGCACACAAAATCCATAATGTTTGTGTGGTTTTAAGAACAAAATGTAATGACTGGTCAACATGACCTAGAACAGGAAAATTAGTAAGCCAATTCTAATCTTGAGTGAGGAGAATTTATCCTAGGATTCTGTTTTGTTTTGGCCAAAGCCTCAAAGGGTCAAGTACCTAGATGGTCCTGATGCCACATAACTAGAAAGACCATGCTTTGATCCAACAACTAAATCAGATATCTTTGAACAGTTGTTAAAATAATCCATTCAAAGCTCTTCTTTTCACCAAGTAAAAATGCCATAAATGTCAACAAGTCAGAACTTGCATTCAACCCTTTAAGGAACACATATCTATGCATATCTAAAAGAGCCAAATGTCATCATCAACATCTTAAATAGGTTAACTGTATGTAAACAGTTCACACATGAATGAAGATGATAATTACCAAGATAATTTGTGGGCAGACTTGTGAAGAAAACTCTGTAAGATATGAGACTGGTATGTTTCAAATTAGTCTTTGGGCTGCTCTTTCCCTTTTCTTTTGAGTCTTTACAACATTTTAGTATCATTGGATTTTCTAAATACCAAAATCTAGGAGTTCCAATCAATATCAGAGTCAATCAGATGGAAGAACACCGTATATAACTAAAACAAGCAGATTTGTGGTGACACAACGAATGCATCAAACACAAATGCATTTTTGCACAAATACAAATTTTAAGTACTATATCATGTACTCATCACTAATTATCCTACTTCTCACAGACATTACAGCAGAAGGAAGGGCTGAGGAAGGACTTGAAGGAGAAAATAATGACTTGAGAAAATAGCCATTGAGAAGCTTCCACATATTTTAGTGCGAGAAGATAAAGTCTGTTAGTTGCTAACAACTGCTACTCTGCTGCTTGAGAAATAAAGAAAAACAAAGATTAACTGTTTTACTGATTACCAGTGTGCAAGAAGTAATTGAGAACACCAAAAGTCCCATCTGCTAGTGTACGACTCTCAATACTAGCTAATATGTAAGCTTTGATCATGTTTCTGCATCACCTTTAAAGTAACTGAACAAATCACAAGGTAACACTCACTTCTTGCAATACTTGTCCGAGCGTCTCCCGGCTCTGAATGCGTTTCCTGTCAAAATCCAAAACCACATTTATTTCTACTCAAGGTATCAGGAGATTTTGCAAACATCAATCACTTTATCCCATTTTAAAAAGAGGAAAATGTTAAGCTAGGTTTTGCTCTACAACCTTACCCACAAGGAATGTTAGAGAGCCTACCACCTCCAATTCATACCTATTATTATTCACATGAGGAGAAACTACCTGGAATAAGGCTTACAACTTATTATAGTTTCTCAGAAACAATCCCATTTATTAAACAATAGTAATATTTTGACATAAATCCTAATATCTGGATATAGCTGATATTTTGTTACTTCAGTGCCATCTTTTCCAGCAATAGGCATCTGTTACTCAGCAACTGATACAAGATTAACAAATACTTCTTATTTAGTTATGCTAATTTAGTTATGCTTATTTAGTTTGCTACAGTCAAAGCTGTAAGTGGCGCGTGTGAATGAAATGTTAATACAAAGGCTAAAAAGAGTTTTACAACAAACAAAAACACATTACTACAGTTACTGTACCCCAACATTCCACAATACAAGCACTTGACAATATTATAAATGCAAACAAAAGGCAACCTATTTTTACCTGTCTATCTTGATTGCTATGATTACTGTAAAACTGCCTTCTGTATTTGGCAGGTAGGTAGAAGGTATAACAACGTAATTTCCTGCAGGAAGTCTGCAAAGTTGGCTTACTTCCTGTGAATAGCAGTGAGGTACACAGCTAACCAGTGGTTCTAAGTGTATAAAAGAGGAAGTATGGGGTTTCCAGTTTCTGTTAGGTACCTGCAAAAGAAAGAACAAAAAAAAAATGCACATCTTTTAAACTATTTTGGATCTCACAAGGTTAAGGTGTTATTTTCCACATCTATTCCACTCCAAATGTTCACCCTTACACACAAAACTATAGGAAACAAGAATGGGGTTGGGAGGGAGGCCTTCAAGAAATCTAGTTCATGCTCCCTATCATAAGGCAGTAGTAAATAAAGCAAATTCATTCCTAACATGTTTGTATACAGTTTATACAGCACACTACACATATAGCACTAAAGCTTTATTTCAAATGTTTCACTTCATTCTTTCTTGCTGCACCCTAATGCCCTCATCCTCCACCTCCATGCATCAGGTGAACAAACTAGGCCCTTGCTCTTCCCAGTTGCATTTCCTGTACTAAAAATCTTTACTATATTTCTCTTCAGTCTCCTATTAAAAAGTTGCATTTGGCAGAACAGTCACCTAACCTGATGTCTCTAACTCTGTTTATACACTTAAGGAGATGTGCACATACTCAGAACCTGCACTTGTCAACACCAGATCATACTTGCTTTTTCAGATCATCTCTTCAACCTAACAAAGTCTTTTTGAATTCTGATTCTATAGGTTCAACATTGCTTGTCAATAGAAAAGCAAATAATTAATGAGTTGATGAAGAGTTGATATTGATTTTTTTATAAGAATTACCAAGAAGTTTGGTCCCCTGCCTATAAGACGCTAAGAATACTTTGTGCTTGTCAAAAATTGAAAAAAAAAAATCAAAACCTCTTAAAAAAAATCATCTGCACAGTTTTATTCAAGTTCAGTTTTATTAGCTAAAGCATTAAAAGTCATCCTAAAAGCCATCTCCAAGAGTTAATCATTTCGGAACTAATTCAGGATTTTGGAAGGATTCAATGGAATCAGATTACAACTAATTTTTTTTTTTCATATCCATTGCTTCACACGATCAGCCTACATTTTTCTTAGAAACAGCATTTTTCTTAACCAGAGCAAAAGGCAGTGAACTGACAAGCTTACCTTTATATTTGACAAATGAGCAAATTAACCACAAGTCTCACCTGAAAAATATGAAAACCTATTGGCCGACACTTGCTATCTTGACAGTGCTGACGGAGGGTAACTTTCACACTGCTTTTTCCTGATCCTGCAGGAATGGAGAGGGGAAAGCAGGGATTGATATGGAAGGAGGGAAAGTTCCTGCTACCTCCTGCACTGAGACCATTTTTCCAGCATCCCTGCAGCTGCACTGTCTCCCATTCACCTGCTGGGAATTCTTCACAGAAGGTAGCATCAGTGGGTGGTGGTTTTATCTCACTATCAAATGTAAAAGAGAAAAAAGAACTAAATGTACAAAATGCAACTTAAATCCACAGATCTAGGCACTGAGTTCACAGAAATTGAACTAGTATTGCGTAAGCTTAAATAAAAACAATTCAATTCCTGCAGAAGGAGCATAAAACTCAGAGTCCTTAGATAATTTGCAGAACTCCAAAAGAACAACGTAGCACACATGAACTCTGGCATAAAGCCACATACATTTTTGTACAATTATGCAATAATACAGTTTACACATCAGTACTTTTGTGTTGTGCTTCATGGTTGAAAGTGACACAATTGAGAGATTCTTGAGTACATATCAGCAAATCTAGAGTAAGAACTGCATTTTTATATATATATATTCACTATATATTTAACCAGAGGAGACTATCATTTTGCTTGCTGACTTCATCACTGTTTGTAACATTATCCCACATTTTGCTCTTAGTTCAGTGTTGCTTCTCACAACCATAGAAACTATTTTGTGTCAGTTCTGCAGTGTTTGAAACCACACTTCAGCATAACTTCAGGCATTTCATCCATTCTTATCTCCTATTTGGCAGAGAAATACTTTTGCTGAGAACATGTTAGCAACTTTCTGATGCTGTAAGGATTGTCCGTTCTAAACACATATCAATGCTGGCAAGTCTGGTTTAGTCTGGAAGACTGTTATACTTAACCACTATTGCAAAATTTACTCCATCACCTAAAGTGCAAATGATGCAATTTATCCAAAACTATATTTTGCTGACAAAGTCCACATCCAGAACCCATTCAGTAAAATCAGCATTACAGCTTTGCAGACCTTTATATGGTTTAAATCTTGATTTCAAATCCCGCAGAGTAATGATTAATGTATGTTTTGTAGTACGACTTGCCAGCTCCTGTCAAAGAATATGATGTGGTAGTGCATTACCAGCATATCAACAAATTCTCACATCTTTTGAAGTTGTTGCCAACATTGCATTTTGCCTCTGTATATGGCTTACCTGCTGCAAGCTGCCACTAGATAACCTCAGATTCTTTCAGTTTTATTGGAAGAAGGTATAACTTTGCTAATTCCAAACAAATACTCATCACTACATCTTCTTAAGTATTCCCTTCAAGACTATGGTCATCAACAAATTGACTTAAATATATTGAGATAGCTCTGTAGTTTGCTACGGTCAAAAAAATAGAACCAATCAGGAGCTATTTGGGTGACACTGCTCACTTCTCCTGTTGGATTAGCAAGCACTGTTATACACAAAGTCTGCCCTGAGTCCAGTAAAAAAGCCTGTTGTGTGTTACGAGGTATATGAATAGACTGGAGAGGACACAATATGCAGTGATCCTTTCAAGCATGTTATCATAATGCTGGTAAACTTCCTCAGGCCTTCACAATTAGGAATTTCAGCCGTATGTCAGTGTTGAATGCCTTAATTCAAATTCCAGTCCTTACACAACTAAAGACAACAGCATAAAGGTCAGTGCTATTTTCCATGCCTCTCCTGCAAAGAAGAGCTGAGAATATTATGTCATCCATGTCCACTGCCGACGTTCCACATGCATTTGAAGCTGTGCTGCTCACTGCCAATGTTGTGTGTCAGGCATATTTTGTTAGCATATGCACCAAGTTTTTTTCCAGCCTACATGATAACATACTTACTGTTTTTCTTTTCTGTCACTGATTATAGCAATAATAGCATATTTTGAGTCCTGTGGTACATCTTAATTTTTCCAGACATTAAAACAGAACTTCAACACATTGAGATATGCACTCTGAAGAAAGTTACACAGTACCTTTAGGAAACGTGCTTTCTCAAAATACTACACGGTGACTACTAGAGTCAAAATGCAACTTATCTGACTGCTTCCAGTTCCCTGAGGTACTCTCAGGTATTTAACAAAGGATCATAGCAGCTTCATGCTAGAGATAGCAACTACTTGCCTGTATTCCAAGACAAAACAATGCTGCTGTCTAGTACTCTGCACAACTTTCAAATTATTCTGAACTTTAACATATAGTGCCAAAAGTCACGTTCAGGCCCAGAGTTTTATGAAATTTTCCATTTCTCTCAAAACCTACCTGAGTGAGATCCTTCCTGTTGAAAATACACGAAGCAAGAAATGCCCTACTTCATCCTTTAGAAAAGTGCTGGGAACAACAAGGTAATACCCAGGGGAAAGGTCGCAGCACACGTGCACTTCTCTGTCATAGGAATGGCAGATGGTACCTACAACTGGAGGAGCAGAGAGGGTCTTTGGGAGGTTAAATCGCTTCTTCTCCACCTAGAATAGATGCATAATGATGCATGGTGTTTTAGGAAAAGTTACAAGGTTTAATAAAATTGAATATAATTAAGTATTGTTCAGACACGCACACTTATACAAGAAGGAACAAGAAAGGAACAGAGCATCAGAAAACAAGCTGAACATCAGAGACAACAGAAAAATTTAACAACCAGAAGAAGGAAATTAGGAATTGTCATCAAATAGTTACCCTGAAATGTCATACACTAATTCAGAACAGTTCTGCTACTTGGCACTCAAATATGAGAACAAAGTACCAGTACACTATTAGGTTGTACAGACAGTAACTGCTTTATGAGATAAACAGGATCACTCTAGCATAAATCAGAGATGCAAAATATCTGAACAATTGAATCTTATCACTGCCATAGAAAAAGGATTTAGTCAGATATTTGAGTACAAACTTCTACTTGCTAAGAGAAAAATGTCATTTTCAAATTACCTTCCAGACATGCAGACCCACTGCCTGATAATTCTTTCTTTGCATGCCTTCAGCCAAAGAGAGATTCTTCTCTGCTAAGTTAGTCAGATTTTGAATTCTTCCAGCCCAGTCAGGACTGTATTTCCTGTGTTTTTGCAGCAGAGCAATGCACACCTCACTCTTCTCACAGACTCTCAGCCAGAATTTAGGATTGGTAGGGAAGCTGCTGTTGTTCCGGCAACCCCCTGCAGACTGACCTCTCACCCAGGATCCAAAAAGATTCTGAGAGTGGAACAGCACTTTCTCTAACAGAAGAGAATAATAAATAAATAAATAAATAAATAAAATCAACCCCTGGAAATGATTTAATTTCGTATAAGAGAATTTTGGTAGATTCCCCAGCACAGAAAAACAAACACTGTGAAAACCCTGACACTTTCTCCAAATAGATATTCATGACCAAGATTTGGGAGGTCCCAGAGACAAAGACAGAAAAGGCCTACTGGTCAGGAACAGAGGGAGAGACTGGGAAAGAGCAATTATTGTCTTGTTACAGGAATTCAAATCAGTCTTTCCCCTTGAAATAAGATAATTTGTACAAAAACAGATCTTTCTGTATACCATACCTGTATAGAGACTCTGAAGTTGTCCTTCCTCATTGATTGGAAAGCCCATGGTAATCTCATCAAATTCTCTAAAAAATTCTTCCTCATCAACCCAGAACTCTCCCTCTTGGATCTGAGAGAGCAATTCTGAGGTGACTACTGGATCCAGTTGGCTCCATCCTTGACCACTGCACATAGTAAGACAGAATGCAAAGTTAGTTCTTTTGTCCATAAAGTTTTGTAACCGTCTTCTATCAACTATTCCATGTAGCACAACAATGAAACCAGGTTTCTGCATTTTATTATCAAGCACTTGCATACAATACTTCCTGCATGCACAGTGCTAGCGAGTGAGATAGACAATAGAAAGTACAAACCACAAAAACCAGAAACTGCACTCTAAGGCTGGATTCTAAAGCTGCTGGATGAAACAAAATCCTCTTGCAACTGTTTGGCAAGTCACTCTTTGGCAATCAAGCTACTACAAGAGGCTTGTAGTAAAAAAAAAAAAAAAAAAAAAAAAAAACTCAACCAAACCAAAATACATTAAAGAACTTCACAAAACAAATATTTTAAATAAACCAACAGGGCCTGTCCCTTCATTCTCAATATTTTAATCTGTTTGTCTACTCAATACAGTTCTGCATTTCCTTTAAAACACCTCTCTGTTTTACACCAACTCTGCACCAAATCCAGCTTCTCCTGCTCATATTAATCTGCAGCTTGAGAACACACAAGTATTCTTCCTACTGCTACATTCGTGTCATACATACACCCTTCTTTACATTTGGCAACTCTGTAACGAGTCATATGATAAGATCCAACTGAGCACTTTTAAGTCATAGCCTTAGACCAACTGCAGAGCAAAAGACAAAAAACAACGCCCCAAAATGGGAGACAGAAGAACACCAACATACTAAGCCTGTAACTTTACCTCTAAAAATGGCATGATGCTTTGAGGTTCAAAAGCTAGTCAATATTTGAACTAATAGATGAAAATGGCCTTACAACCTTACACCCTTTGGCCTTACATCCAAAGAGTTGCAGGAATTGCAGAATTCTCAAAAAACAAGCAAACAGAAAGAAAAACAAACAAAAAAAACCCTTATAAACTGAAGTCTCTTCATTACAGTATATGAGCAACATTCACCTTCGCAATACGTAGATATGCTTTTTGCCTCAAAAAACTTTCACAAATAAAACTACTCACCCCTCACACCAGGGACCCTTCCAGCACCGCCTCCCCCAAGGATTTCGTATCCGTAGTAGGAAGATCTCCTTGCCTGACACTTTAGAAAGATTCAAGATGTCTATCACAATAAAGGCATGAAATTCTCCTAGTTCCCTTGCCCCTGAATAGAAAAACAATACAATATCAGAAGGCAGACTAAAGTACTTAATATTTTCCAGCGAAGGACATTGAACTATTTTGTGAAAGTGATTTTGAGGTAAAATGATTAAATCAGTATAAAAACAGCATTAAAAACAAGCAGCTCATTTTATTTGTGACTATATAGAAAAAAAAAAACACTCTATTTTACTTGTTGATTCAAACTTCTACAAATCCTTTTTTTTTTTTTCCTTCACCATATATTTGCACCATAAGACAGCAGAATCAACACTACACTACCACTGGCAGCCTGGCACTGCTAAATTGAGAATTTAGCTTAAAAATGTCGAGATTTTTACTATTACCTTCTCTGGAATTGAGGACCGAGCAGCTTATTACACACTGTTCCTTCAGGTTCATTAATCTCCTAAACACTGTCTTCTCCAAAACCATACCAGTCCTCTCCTTCTCCATGTTTCTTCCAGGGTCTTTCAGGGTCCATCTTTCAGCAATACCTCCAGTCAAATCAACTAAAGCATCTGCCACCTGTCCTGCCCATAAGTGTTCATAAGATCCATGCAGCCTTGGAAAAAAAAGGGGGGGAGGGGAAAAGAAAAAAGAAAAAAAAAAAAAAAGGT